TTCAAGAAAGCGAACATCCCAAAAACCGTTGGCTCAAATTGAAACAGATCTTGAGAAAATCTGGAATAGAAAATGCAAATAGATGTGTGGTACCTTCCACTCTTTAATCAAACATAGTTACATAGGCAAATTACTATTAACACTTTGTTAATTCTCTACTCATGTTGGCATAAAACCCCTGCTGTGATCTGCAACACAATATTATTATACTTAAGATAAAAGTTTAGAATGACAGGATTTAAGAAATAAATCAGTATTAGAAGTTACTTTTGAAGAAACATTTAGAGTCTTGATAAAGGATAAATACTGAAAATATTGACCCTCTCTCCCAGAAATGGAGCGTAGCGTTAGTTCAGGCAGGCCACAGAGTCACGATCTGTTATCATGCCAGAGTTTCAGTAACAGCTGATCTCACGCAAGTCGCATCAGCTGATGGCCAGCTGATTTGCTTCGAAGCATCCTATCGGCCAAATAGTACATATGCCGCCTTATTTAAACTGCTCTAGCCTGCCTCCTTTTGCTGCTCCCTCTGCAAGCAGCATTTGCAAGTGCATTTGCAACCCTCCTCCTCCCCACCTCCTCCCTTTTCTGCTATTGTGACTTAATCAGTGTCATGCTTGTCATTGATGCTTGCTCTGGGGGGTTTGCTGCTTATCTCCCTGCCTTATAGCTTGTATGCAAGCAGGGAGGAATGTGTGCTGTTCCTGCCTAATGCTTTCCATGTAAGCGCGTGGAAGGGCAGGGAGATCCCTCACAGAGACATACTGCCAAATATAAATAATTTCGTCAAAGTATTCTTTTGACAAAGTGGTGCTGACTGAAATGACATTTGTACACACAAAATTAAATCGTCTGGTTTGTTGAAGAGGAGATGTGATTTCAGTCTTAATTGACTTCACTTTAAATGTCCAATTTCAATACAATACCTATTCTTTTTTTCCTTTTAACATTTCCGGTCTCTCTTCAGCTGAACTATCTAATAAAGGCAAAAAGGCCCAAAAACATCTTTAAGAAAAGTTTTATTGTGACTCCTTACCTGCTGAAAGTCTGAAACGATAGGACTCTACGGTGCCTCAAACATTAATAAAAGTTTTATTTTTCTCTTAAAGGGATACTTCACCCGTTGAAACATGAATCTGTATTGACATTGGGTCATATATGTAGTAGAAATGTAAAATAAATTTTGAAATTGGTGTCTTCTTGGTCGTGAAAAGGCAGAAAGTGTCTTTCTGGCTCATGTTGATGAAAGACACCAAATCCCAGAATGCACAGCACTGCAGGCCATTCCCACTAAGGTCCTCTAGTTCAGAATCAGAAATACTTTATTAATCCCAGAGGAAAATTCGATCGATACAGTTTCTCCAAAATATACAGTATAGCAGTAGAAATATAGTAATAAAAACATTTACAGACATATTTACTTCAACACATAAGGCCATTTCCTCAACTGATTCCGAAATTTCTTTCAGAATTGATCTTGGAAATTCCTGGCAGAAAACAGACTCTATAACCCTTTTCACACATACGGAAATCTCCTCAAAAACTCCGGAGATTTGACTACCCGGAGGTTCTTTAGTGTGTGAACGCAAACAGCCGCATTTTTCGCCCGGACTTTACCTGGAGTTAATCCGGCCAGACCCCTAGTACTTTATCTGCAGAAAATCCGAGTGAGCTGATATGCATGCATGCATACAAGCTATGCATGGAGCCCACATTAGCACACACATTCAAGTGCATAGGAGTACACTTTTCTTGTGTACACCTACAGTGCACACCTAAAATATAAATCCATGAATGCAATCTGAATTTTAAATTTCTGACAGAAATTGGAATTTCCTCATAGTTGCTTTTATTAAATATTTCATGTTGTAGATAATTTAATGCACATGCAATCGTTCTATTTTTATAATAACTTCATTTCTACTTCATCTGTTAGTCACTGTATGATTTAGCAATTCAAGTGAGAAATTTTTTTAAAAGTTGGAAAAATGTTATACAAATTTTAAGAACATTTTGTTTGTAATCCAACCTGAATCCATCACTCAACTTGAGAATACCAAAGAAAAAAACTATAAACTATATGAAACATCAAATAATCCTGCATGAAACACTTTTAAAATAGCAGATTTTTTACAATCCCCACAAAAATAAATGTGAAACCAACTAAAGAGATTAAAAAGTACATGCATGTTCAGAGTGTCATCACTTCTTATTGACTAAACCTGTGTTTGTTAGCCAACAGTAGTTGTAAACCAGCTTATTAAAGGCTTAATATGCAATTTTTCACACTTAAATGCAATAGAAATCAAGGATATCCTCTGAAAATAACTCTGTGAGTCATGACTGTCTACAATGGGTGTAACACCGGAGTCCCACTGTCTGTGATGCTTTCCGAGTTTTCCAAGTCCTATCTTCAGTTTGTTTACATCGCCGGGACGGCCGGCCAGCTCATCCCCTCGCGTATAAAAGTTGTTTAATTGAGGGACTAGAGAAAAGAGAATAACATTCTGTACTCACTGCTTAATTGAATGTCACGTAAGCGTTTCTAGATCACGGTCATTTCAGGTAAATTTACATGCAGTGTGAAGATATGAGCATGATAAAGATTGCTAGCATTAGCATGCTAACACAACAATGCAGCACAAGTTGTTTTGGTTTCATGCTGGTGATCAAGGGCGACATCTTCTGGATCAAAAAATTGCATATGAAGCCTTTAAGGAGCAACAAGAGGTAGTCTGAAAAATGTTGCATGTGTTACTGCTCTGTAGATAGATTTAAACCTATACTCTATGTGAGAACTGCAAATAAATCAAATGGCCACAAGATGGCAGTGTTGCTCAACTCTCCATGGTTTGGTGTGCTCTCACCATTTGATGAAATGAATGCTCTGCTGGAGAAAGTTTAAACAGGTACTGATCTTTTTTTTTGTACACTGAAAGGAAACATAAGAAACCCTCAGACTGTAAAATATTATTTTATTCTATGATGACGAAAAGGTCCAGCATGTAAAGGAGGTGAACATCTGCAGTAGTTTTATATTTAGTGGATGTTTTTTGGTATGAATTTGTTTTCTATCCAAAAATAAAAGATGAGACTATAATATATGACCTACAGTAACATCCAGAATGAGCAAATTACAGATGTGTGTCTATCAATGCCAAGAGTCATCTCCTACCTTTTCTTGTGAGATTACTTCTGATTGCAGACATAGAAAGTTGTTTGAAGATAATATCTATGTTAACATATCTCACTTTGTTATCTTACTTCCATAAAGAGTTGGTTTTCTTAATTTCATCACAAAGATATGACTTTATTCCCAGGTCAGGTATCTTTATAGGGCTTATAAATATCAATTTTTATCATCTAATTTCTGCTGAGGCTTTAGTTTTGTTTTAAACTGAAAGAAGGATGTCAAAGTCAAACTGATTCTCTGTGCAGCAACACAGATCAAACTTAAATGACAAATGTCAGCTCATGTTAGTATAACTATTGATTTGATGAAGTCAAAGTGATGATGTACTAAAACTGTAATATCTGGTACTTTTTTAGGCTACTTATTTTGCCATATTCACAAAATCACAAATCAGTAGTCAAAAAAACCCACAAATCAACATAAAGCAAATGAACCTAACGTAAGGACAAAGGAACGCAAACTCTGAGTTCACATGTTTGTACACAGGATCTGATGCTGTTTCAAAAGTTGATCCTCTTTGTAGATGTTGTGAATGATTTTAGCTGATGACAAATAGGAAATATTACAGATCTTGATAAATATTGTCAATCCAATCAGAATAATTTCAATTAAGTTTTTAAAATTGTTTTTTAAACTATCATTAATACATGTGTTGTATTGGAAATAATTCATAATATATCAACAAAATAAGAATGAAGTAAGGTGAAAAGTCCATTTTACACTCACATCAAGGTTTCTGTTGTTCTCTTTAGCAGGTCAGTGTAACACATTGGATCTAGATTTAGCCATCTATTTTTTTCTGTGCATGAGGAGTTACCAATGTGAACCTCCATAAATGATGCTACATTTTTTTCATTTTATTTGTTTTTTATTCATTAATTAGCCTATTTTTTTTCTCATAACATTCCATAATCTCAACTGAACTCTGCTTAAGTCAGATAGAAAGCATGTGATCCAAACTCCACACACTGTTTCTGTTGATGCAAATGAGCAAATGATGTAAGTTGATGATTACTGTGTCCTACAAATAAACTTAACATGATGTGTTTAAATAGGCAATGTCGACATTAACTCAACCTGTGAAGCATGTGAGGGCAGTAAACATACATCTAAAGAACAGATTAAATGAATTTGATTGAATGAATGAATGTTAAGGACTTTGCCAATTACACACACAACTCCCATTAAACTATTTTATCTATCGTTGAAAGTCTTGACACTGGCTGCCTCTTTGTCTTCATATTGATTTTATTATTGTCTAAAGCACTTGGCCTCCCACCAGATTAACTTTTCAGAGTTGATTTTAGTTTATGAACCAGGACGACCCCTCAGGTCTTCTTGTTCTTCTATGGTTCTTCTTTCAGTTGTTCCACAGAGCAGAACAAAAACCTTTTGTGATTCTGCGTTTAGCTGCTCTGAGACTTTGGAACAGACTTCAGAGGATCAGAGAATATTGAGATTTTTAAAAACAATTTAAAAAACTCATTTATTCAGTCTGGCTTTTCTATATGACTTAATCATTTTAAGGCTTTTAATTTACTATATTTTAATCAATATTATTCATCTCTACTTTTAAATTTACATTTTAGTGTTTGATTTTAGGTTTTTAGTATTTATATTTATCAATCATTGTGCTGATTTCATTTCTTATTGCTGTTATATTTTACAAACTACCTGTTGTCAGTCATTTTTCCGCTCCTTTGTAAAGGACTTTGAACTGCAATTAGATTTGTACCACAGGTGATATATACAGTGTATATATATACATATATATATAGATGCATATGGTTTGATAGATTACACAATGTTGAACTCAGGATTTTCTCTGATGTTTATTTTGAATACATGCAGATTTTATCAGATATGAACCCATCACAACAGGAATACACTTGAAAGGTTCTCATAGATGCTTTATGTAAGAACCAATCGTCAAACAATTATAGCTTCACTTAAAGTGTGTCATACATTTAAACACATTCATCATCCATTGAAGAAAGGTAGTTGATGGATACGTTTAAAAGATATTTTTCAATTCGAATTTCAAGTTTTTAGATGCAAATAAAGGTTTTCACAAGTTCCAGTTTTTAAAGTAAGAATCATAAACTCAAAAGAAGAGCACATTATAAAACATGCCCAAAATAAGACTCATTTTAAAACAGATTAAAATTGTATTGTGATAATAAATGCTGCAGATACAAAGTAATATAATATAAGATAATACCAGTCACCAAAACATCACTCATGATCATCTCTCATTAAACACCACTCAAAGACAAATAATCTAATCTCATGTCCTCAATCTTCAAACGATTAACATCAAAACTAAAACACCACTGAGTATTATAAATCCCTAAATAAAACCACAAGTGAAATATTCACTCCATTACACATGTTGGGAGTGCTTTACATCTTTCCCCGACCAAAAATAATTCACAACCTACAAAGAAGCATAAATGTGACCAAAAGCTGAATCAATTCAGAAACATGCAGTTTATATATTCAGTTTGAGACAATGATTGTTGGATTTCAATAATGGCTTTCTTTACCTAAATGGTATTCAACAGCCATACAGCTGCTAGCTGTGTAAGTAATGTATCCAGTGTCATGTGTGTCTATGTATCAGTTTATATTATTATATATTATGATTTATCTTTGTCCTCAATAAAATCATGTTGTATGTTGTTGGAACTTATGCAGATGCAGAAGGGAGTCAACAATTTAAAACAACAATACAACATGTATATGATAAAAGCTAGAAAGAGTCCTGAGTCTGAATAAGAAACAATTCTGTGTTATTCATGTTGTTGAGTCATTTCCATGGTCTTTTAATTACCCTCAGGTCCAAGCAGATGCGGCTTCTTCTCGAACTTCCTGCATGTTAATAAAGACACAAAAGTACATCTGTTTAAAGAAAGCAGTATAGAGTAAACCTAGTGAGAGATAAACTGAAGAAGAAATGATTCTATTTAACAAACGATCTAACATTCAACTTATTTTAAAGATAAACGATGTACTCATCATGCAGATCCATCATCTCACTGCTGAGAACTTTCAGTTTTTTTAAATCTCAAGTAATAAAATACATTATTTCAAAGTTTTTGTCCGTTGGTAGGAAAATACAAAAGTTTGACGACACCAATGCTAATTTAGCATCAAAAAAAGATCAAAATCATATATATGCAAAAAAAAAGAATCCTGAAGCTCTGTTTCACTATGCAATCATTCCCTCCCTGCTCATTGTTCCATTCTAATGCTCATATATTAAAACAGCCTTTCAATGTAATAAAACCACTAACTGCATATATTAATATGTCACATACACACCCATTCAAAAAAGCCAATTTTTACAACAGAAATAAACATGTTTACAGCCCGATTCAAAAAACAAATTGGTCTGATTATCTCATGTCTCAATCAGCACACACTGTATGAAGAGGGATTTTTTTTTTAACATGTCCGTTTTTCTTTTAATGAAGGATACACGTTATTCACAATAAGACCCGTAGCTTATAGGCCTGGGCTAAAAAAATGTTATCAAAATGTCATATCAGTCGATATAATTATCACAATAATTGTCAATCATTTTTACTTTCAAATTTTCAAATTTAAAAGCTGATTTTTGCTCCTGAGTGAAAGTTGAAGAAACCAGAGGGTTGGTTAATCTTTTGGTTTCACTCCCATGCTGCTGTTGCTTACCTCTCTTAACCTGAGGGCCCCAAACCAGAGTCCTGCACGGTTCCAATACAGGTCAGTAAAATTGTTTCAGTACAGAAACCTGACTGACTGTCTAGACTTGCTGTCTAACCTGGATGCAAACCAGGACAAAGGACCAATAACATGTTGGAGTGTTGCTCACTTTGGCAGTATTTTGTTAAGTTAAAGTATCAAATCTATTAGAGTAGAGCTTCACCAGCACAGGTAAGCATACGTTAACCTGAAAGGAAGACCGAAGGCTGAGGATGCTAGCACAGCTAATGTTTTCCACACTCAGCAGATTGTAGATCACATGTTCAACCATATTAAATAAACTGTACTCAATGTGGACTGTTTTCTATTTACTTCAGCCAAGTCAACTGGTTTTATGTTTAATCAACAGCAAGTTAGTTCATATTGTATCCTTTAACATCTTAATATTCAACTATTATCTAAGGATTGGAAAATCATTGTACCACTGTTCAAAGTGCTTTTTTGCAGCCTTCACACTCTTTCTATCAGTCTTCTTACAGAAGACCCTGATCAGCTGCTCAGAAAAGCACGTTGTGCCAATCCTGGATGCCTGTAAAGAATGACAGCAGCTTTAATTTGAGAGTTATGGTGACATAAGCTGCCTTACAAATAATAAACAGAAGAAATATTGAATGATTGCGATAAAAAAATTGTTTTAATCAATAATTAGTTCTGACATTTTTGCTGTTCTCGTCTTTCATGCCGTAGTCCATGTTAATGACCTAAAAAGAAGGTCGAGAGTAAAATGTGTGCCATAACAAATTCTGCAACATCTTACAAATCAAAGAATCAGCAAAACTGAAGATTTTACAAAAAAAGTGAGACGAAAGAAAGTAAAAAAAACTCACCAGGATTTCAAAGTCCTCTGGTTTCAGGTTGCTTTCTTCCTCGTCAGGGAGGGGTTGAGCCAATCCTTCTTTCCAGCCAGAAATCCGGCTCTTGACAAGGAATCAGAAAAAAATTACAACAGTGGAAAAGGATATAGATTCAAGTTTTTTTGCATTTTAAGTTGACAATGTAAGCAACTTGGAATTCAATTCACATTCACTCAAAAAACTGCACCAACTTAGTGTAAATGCATTTGACTGTAGGGCTGCATGGTATGATCTAAGCATTCATTTTGCTATGTGTACAAGTGCCATGGTAATATCCCAGGACGTGTGTTAGTCCATGAGCACATAAAGTGTAGAGGGAGAGAGAGTGAAGGGATCACATGCAGTGTATGAAGATGAACTGTTCTTTGCTTAGAAGTTAATGTCACAGGGCTCTTGATGCAAATTAAATGTAGCTTTGAATGTATAAGGGGTTCTTATTTGTAAAAGAAAATAAACTTGAAGACCCAAATAATAATAAAAATTGTAATAGTATGAACATGAAAAGAAAACGCAGTTTCCCCAATATCATGCAGCATTAGTTGACTGAGGGATTTTGTATTGTAAGACATTTCAAGCTGCTATCCAATTCACATTACATTTCAAAAAGAGAACTGTTCAATAGTGCTGCTGTTCATGTTAAATGTAATATTACGGGCAAGATAAAATGCTGGAGACAGTAAATAATGTGATGTGTACTTATTCTATTAACTAAAAATGAGCACATTATCCAGCTTTGTGATAACAGTGCATTATTTATTTAACCGTTTATTTGAATCAGGGTTAGTGTACAAAAAAAAAAACATTAGTCTCAGAAGAGAAGAGATGCTTTGTACCAGATTTAGCTAGCTAGCTAAGTTCCATCTGTTGTCCCTGGGCAGATGATGGCAACAGCAAAATACAAATCAACCAGACACACTCGCACGCACGCACGCACACACGCACGCACACGAGAGAAGAAAGACATAGAACAATTTACAGATATTAAAACATTATAGTTTCCCTGAGAGATCTAAAAGGTTGTCGAGATGACACATTAATGCTGACAAGGCTGGTTCCTTAAAATCCATTTTTTGACTTCCCGGGTGAAAGTGCAGAAGTTTGTGCAAAGTTTAAGACTAGTTGGAAGACTATTCCATTCCTTAACGGCTTTAAAAGAAAAAACTGATCGTGCTAAAGCGGAGCCACGTTTAGGAACACTGCAATCTCCATTAGAGGCAGACGTTGAAGATCTGCTTATCAGCTCAGAGCAAAGTTTCACAAAGCTTTTCAATGGTGGGGGAGCAGCATCATGGATTATTTTGTACACTAAGCGGACATCGGTATAAAAAATGAAATGGTCAAAGCTCAGAATTTTATATTTATCAAGAATATCACAATGATGATACTGTTGTGGTTTCCTGTCCAGAGTTTTAAGGGCTTGTTTATGAAGTGACCTTATGGGTTTTAAGACAGTCTTGTTTGCTTGGGACCAACATGATATACAGTAATGAAAGTAAGAAAAAATCATAGCATTCAAATACATTTTAGACGCTTCGACTGTAAGTGAGTTCCTGATATGTCTAAAGTTGGCTATGTTATATTTAACTTTATGGCACATCTTTTTAATATGACTTTTAAAAGTAAGGTTGTGGTCTAGTGTAACACCCAAGTATCAAGTATCAACCCAACTCATCAACCTTTTTTATCATTTGCCCACCTACAATAATATTTGGAAAAAACATATTTTTGTGTTTATTTACAAAATACATGACCACAGTTTTGTCAGTATTAACGTAACGTATGAATAACGTAACCATTCTATGACTTGTTCCATTGCTAATGACAGTTTGGCAGCTACTTGTTCAGGGTCTTTCCACATGCATATAGGACCGTGTCGTCTGCATACATCAAGGTCCCACATCATCACACACAGATGGGAGATCATTGATGTATGCACTAAACAACAACGGTCCTAAGATGGAACCTTGTGGCACTCCCATAACGCAGGCTTTTAGTGATGATATTTTATCATTTATCCGTACGCACTGGGAGCGACCAAGTAGGTAAGACTGAATCCAATTAACAACGTTAGCAGAGAGTTTAAATTTAGACAATTTGGAGATGTGTACTGAATGATTAACTGTATCGAAAGCCTTGCGCAGGTCAAGAAATACAGCACCCACCACCCCTCCTTTATCAAGGCTACCTTTAATGACTTCAAGGAAGTAGCAACATGCCGTTTCAGTGGAATGGTTTGCTCGAAACCCAAATTGCATAGGGTGCAGTAGATTTTCAATATTAAGATGGGCTACCAGTTGTTCAGCAACAACCTTTTCAATAACTAGGTTAAGGTGATTAGATCATGTGTTATAAATGTAATGAAACACAAGAACACAGACTTACTTCCCAATCCTCGATGGGGTCCGCTGGCTTTCTCTCACCAACAAACTTGTAGATATTTCCAGAGACAATGTTTTGCAGAATTAGAGTAGAGCTTAACCAGCACCTTAACCTGAAAGGAAGACTGAAGGCTGAGCACAGCTAATGTTTGAGGCAGAAATGATTCTATTTAACAAACGATCTCTCATTCAACTTATTTTAAAGCAAAACAATGCACTCATCATGCAGATCCATCATCTTACTGGTGAGGATTTTCAGTTTTTTAAAATCTTAAGTAAAAAAAAATATTTTCAACGTTTTTGTCTTTTGGTACTAAAATACAAAAGTTTGAAGACACCAACATTAATTTGGCATCAAAAAAGGGATCAAAATCATATAAAAGCAAAGAAAAGGCAACAGTATCCTGAAGTTCAATGCAATCATTCCCTCCCTGCTCATTGCTCCATTCTAATGCTCATATATTAAAACAGCCTTTCAATGTCATAAAACCACAAACTGCATATATTAGTGTTGGGTTGGGAGCAGAATCAAATCTATTGAAGAACAGATTCAGTTCATTTGCCCACTCCCTGTCTCCTGCTTCAGGGCCCCTCCCACGCCTTCTGCTGTGACCTGAGATGTTATTCAGGCCCCTCCAGACTTCTCTTGCATTTTTATGTTGTAAATCTTCCTCCATCTTTTCCCGATAGCTGGCTTTCAATTCCTTGATTTTAATCTTGAGCTATCCTTTTGCACCCTCCTCAGCTCCTCTCTATCTCCAGATCTAAAAACCCTTCTCTTTTAATTGAGCAGGGTTTTCAGCTCAGGGGTCACCCAGGGTTTGTTGTTGGAGAAACACTGTATTTTTTTGGTGGGTACAGTGTTCTCAACACAGAAGTTTATGTAATCTGTGATGCAGTGGGTTAAACCGTCGATGTCCTCCCCATGTGGGCTGCACAGCACCTCCCAGTCAGTGGTGTCGAAGCAGTCCTGCAGCGCCTCAGTGGCCTCCTTAGACCACTTCTTCACATACCTGGTTGTGGGGGGTTGTTTTTTCACCATAGGTATGTAAATGGGCTGCAGTCTCACCAGGTTGTGGTCTGAGCGGCCCAGAGGGGGAGGGTGATGATCTGTATGCAGCCTTGGTGTTTGAATACAGTAAGTCCAAAGTTTTATTGTCCCTAGTATGGCAGTCAACATACTGAGTGAAAGTAGGGAGAGTGGCAGACAGGGAAACGTGGTTAAAGTCTCCTGAGATGAGAGTAAGAGACTGGGGGTGTGATGTCTGTAGCTGAGACACTACACTGTGGATGAGTTCACAGGCTGCAGCAGCGTCTGCCGAGGGGGGATGTAAACAGTCACCGCGATGACGTGTGAAAACTCCCTCGGCAGGTAATATGGCCGAATGCTACAGCCAGCAGCTCCACATCCTTAGTGCAGCGCTGTTCTTTAACGGTGATGTGCCCAGAGTTACACCACCTCTCATTCACATACATCGCTATTCCCCCGCCTTTCTTCTTACCGCTCTCCCTCGCGCTCCGGTCCGCTCTGACGAGTTGGAAGCCGTCCAAAGTTACGAGCGTGTCCGGAGTGAGTTCATTCAGCCATGTCTCCGTGAACTGCATGATGCTACACTCTCGTACTCCCTCTGAAGCCGGTGAGCGCCGTCAGCTCCTCCATCTTATTAGGGAGAGATCTTACATTCCCCATAATTAAAGACGGCACGGATGGTTTGTACCGTCTTTTCTTTTCCCGGCACTTCACTCCGGCTCTGCATCCCTTCTCTTCCTCCGTAGTTCTGCGGGATGTCCGGTCTTTCGGCTGGATGTAACCGAGGCTGGCACAGCGCAACCAGCTGTTCACGGGTGTAACAATGGAGCCCAATAAACAGAAGAAATATTGCGATAAAAAATGTTTTAATCATATTTAGTTCTTACCTTTTCTTCGGGCATTAGCTTTGCCTTGTCAAGCTCAGATTTG